TCCCAACAGTGTTCAACAGCAAAGTAGAAAGACTGTTCAATTAATCCAGAGCCAGGAAGATGAAATGTGTGGTAGTTGGAGGCTGGGCAGTACAGATAATTTGTAGATCATGATGTCTGTGCCAGCACTCCACAGGAGAAAGATTTGGCAGTCTGCTTCCAAAGACAACAGCCTTGGAAACCCCTATGGGGCAGTTCTACCCCATCCTATAGGGCTGCTACGAGTAAGAGCAACTCAACGACAACAGGGCTGGTGGTTTTGGTTTATAGTGCAAAAGTGCTTCTCTCCTAAATGCAAGGTTAGCAGTGTGAACCCAGCCAATGACTCTTGACCATATTCATTCTCTAGTAAAGATAATGGCCTAGAAAACCCTATGGGGGAGTTCTCTTTTGTCATGAGAGTACCAAACAACAACAAAAAAACTGGGCCACGAGAACAAAAAAACATACACAAAAAATGAGGTCAGAAGTGAGATATGAGAGTTATTTGTCACTATGTGGCAATCTGGTATGTATACAACCAATTCTAGTTCACTATCATGCAAGGTCAAAACAAAACAAAACCAGCTGCCATTAAGTCAATTCCAACTCATGGTGACCCCATATGTCAGAGTAGAAATGTTTTTTTTGTGAAGTTTTCAGTTTTCAATGTCTGATATTTTGGAAGCAGATCACCAGTTCTTTCTTCCAAGGTGTCCATGGGTGGAATCAAACCACCAACCTTTCAGTTAACAGCCAAGCACTTAGCCACTTGCTCTACCCAAGGACTCCACCATGCAAGCTGACCATTATTAAATAGTTCAACAGATCTAACTGGTATGAAATGTTCTACTGAAGCCTCCTGATATTGCCTTAATTCACAGGAGTTTTTAATGCAATATCATATAAAAGTGATGATGCTAAAACCAACAATGTATGCTTACCGAGTATTTAATACATGCTGGATATTGGGTTAAGTTGGTTTCCATGCACCATCGAATTCAATTCATATACACAACAGCTCTATGAAATAAAGTGACTTGCCCAAGGTCACCCACCAAGTTCAATGAAATTGAATTCAGTGACTCTAAAATTATCTGCGAGAGCTCTGGTAGCGTAGTGCCTAAGGCACTTGACTGCTAACCAGAAGGCTGGTGGTTCAAACCCACTAGCCACTCCTCAAAAGGAAGATGGGGCAATCTACTTCTGTAGTGATAGCGCTTCAGAAACCCAAGGAGGGGTCACTATGAGTCAGGTCTGACTTGAGGGCACATAACAACAACAACAAAATTATCTGCAAGAATAGAGGTGGAAAAAAGTACAAATGATTTAGGAATAAAAGAAGACATTACCAAATGTTCAATAATCAAAACACTTAATAGTCTTGGTTGGAAAAAAAAAAAAAAAAACCTCAACACAGCCCAGAAACTAACAGAATTTAATGTCATCTCTTCAACAGTATAATTACATATGTAATTGTAACTCTTATGTACACATTTTTTTGCTTATAATAAGCAGAGTCTAGTTAACTAAGCTAGGAAAACCAAGTTTTTATCATAATTTTGATCTCAGCATCAGATTGATAGATGCATCCTCCCATCCTATCAATGCACTATTTCAAACAAAAGTAAAAAACAGCCTTATTTTATGTAAAAATGTTTCCCAAGCAGTGGTATGAAGTCACATAATTCAAACCCAGTCAACATTGGCTTCAGTTTTTTAATGTTTGCACTAACCAGGAGAGTAAGGAGACACTAGTCTTTTAGCCAGCTACCAAGTTCATGTGGCTTTAAAATGGTTCAGATTTTGTTAATGTAATGACAACAGAGTTAGAGTACCTAACTACAACTGCAGATTATCAGTATCATCTTCCTAATACTGTACCATGAACTGACTAATTGGCAATTGGTTTGGTTTTTGGTTACACCTTACGTTTTCATTAATAGAACCACTGCACTTTTTGACTACAATGTATGCTTATATGAGTTTTAGAATTTTATGACCCTACAGCAAGAAACAAATCTATCACAAAAGTAGCATCACAAATCAGGGAGGAAAGGAGTAATTATTATGTGGGTTTCCTAAATAGAAAAAAAACCCAAAAACCATTTTTTGTATTTTAACCTCAAATAAATTCCAGACTAACTAGAAATACAGGTGGAACTCCTGCTTTGTTGGTGGGAGATGAATTTACTAGAAAAGAAAGATAAAGAAGACAAGAGGATTGAAATGGCTATATGAAATGAGAACATCTAAATATCATTAGGGAAAATACATTAAAACAAGTGTTTCTGTTTTTGCTTATTCAATGGCCAAGATTAGAAAAATTGTAATTAATGACTGGCAAATGATGCATTAGGCTAGACACTGCTGGTGGAGAGTCGTCTGGCATCATTTCCCTGAAGAGCAATAGGAGTATTTATGAAGAGTTTTAAAATGTCCATACCCTTTGATGACGATAAAAATCATTCCTAGGAATTGTATCTGAAAGAAACCACATCTGTGAACAAAGATGTTCACTCTAGGATTATTTGGTAAGAAAAAAAGGGTAAACAAATAGTCAATAAGGAATAATCAATTATGTAACTGTTGTCATATATAATCATATAATCATGATATGCCCAACATGAAGGAATATTATACAACTTTTAAAACTAATGGCATGGAGGAAAGCTCAGAACATACACTAACTAAAAAAGAGCAAAAACAAAATAATGTAATTAAAATTTTAAGCACTAATTGTAGGTCAGAGGCCATGTTAAATGCTTTACATATCATCTAACTTAATCTCTTCCAAACACTGAGATGTATGGTATTAGTATATACCAATTACACACAAAAAAGCCAATACTTAAAACATACTGAGTGATTACTTAAAAAGGAAAAAAAAAAATCACAATGCCTCGATCCCACCTCCAGTCTATGTTTTAATTGGTCTGGAGATGCCTGAGCCTTCAAATAGGTAAAACTCCCTAATGGACTGTAATGTGCAGCCAACTTTTGAGAATCGCTTAGTGCAGAACTCTGGTAGCATAGCAGCTAAGGCTGCTAATCAGAAGGTCAGTGGTTCAAACCTACCAGCTGCTCTGCAGGAGGAAGATAAGGTAATCTACTTCATAAAGATTTACAGCCTTGGAAACCCAATGAAGGTCAGCATAAGTAGGAATGGACACAATGACAGTGACTATCAAGGACACAGACTAATGGAATATGAGAGACAAAGAATATCTCTTTCCTTTGAATGGAAAAGTAAGGAAAAGAAAATTATATAATGGTAGTTCATTTACAGTGAAGACAAGTGTAACTGAGAAAGTGCATACACATTGGCTTTCACAGAAAAAAGCAACAATACTGATCAATTATGGCAAGTTTGTGAAAATGCAAAACACTAAAGATTTTCTGTATTAACTTCATTTTCAAAAAAGTAAGCATTCCTTTGAAAAGTAACCGATTTAGTAACATTCTTTGGGTAAAATATAGACTTAGCAATAGGTTAATCTAAAATTCCACAGAATCATTTTGAGGAAAAACAATAAAACATTAGAGTTCATGGTCAAACTATAAGGATTATATATAGAACTATGCCATGGATTATCCAAAATTTATGTTTTAGAATAAACTATCCTCACACACTTAAAAAAAAAAAATTGTAATTGCTTTTTCCTTTTATTAAAATTTTATTTTTCTTTTGTTCAGCATATACACAGCAAAACATGCATCAATTCAACAGCTTCTACATGTACAATTCCTCAAGTTGTGCAACCATCCTCACTTTCCTTTTCTGAGTTGCTCCTCCAGCATTAACATAAACTCACTGCACCCTAAGGTTGAGTTGCTTTTGTCAATTTGATCCCATACAGATAGATCTTAAAATAACAATGTTAAAGGCAGACCTTTTTAAAAACTAGTTCAGCTAACCTAAGATGACTTCAGGGGATATTTTTGGTTTAAGTTATCTCACGACAATAGTTTCAGGGGTTTAGGCAATAGTTCCAGGTGTTCATCCAGCCTCCATGGCTCTAGAATGTCTGGAGTCCATGAAAATTTGAAATTCTATTCTGATCTCCCCGCTTTTGATCAATATTTTTCTATAGAATCTTTGGTCAAAATGTTCATAATAATGGTAGCCGGATACAATCCAGTTCTTGTAATTTCTCCTTGAAAAATAGTTTTGCTTATGCCAATAATAAAATTATTGTTTTAATTGGTCTGGAGATGCCTGAGCCTCCAAACAGGTAAAACTCTCCAATGTCTGAATTCTTAGAAACTTACTACCAATGGCAGAAGAATGTAGACTAAACACAGGCATACCTTGGATATGCTGCGGATTTGGTTCTAGACAACCACAATAAAGTGAGTATCATCACAATAAAGTGAGTCAGATAAAAATTTTGGTTTCTCAGTGCATATGAAAGTTATTTTTCTACTAAACTGTAGTCTATTAAATATACAGTAACATTATGAAAAAGTTTGAAATATTGTGAAAATTATCAAATTGTGACACACGCAGTTGTGAAAATAGTGCCATTAAGACTTGCTTAATGCAAACCCCCCAGCCACTCCTCGGAAGGAAGGTTGGGCAATCCTACTTCTGTAGTGATACTGCCTCAGAAACCCAAGGAGGGATCGCTATGAGTTGGGGTAGACTCAATGGCAAATAACAACAACAACAACAACGCAAGGTTGCATTGCGCATGTCTGAAATTTGTAAAAAATGCAGTTATCTGTGAAGGGCATTAAGATCAGGTATGCCTACGTATAAAATGAGGAATCACTGTTCAGAAATTAGTTACAACCAAAATATTCAAACTCACTGCTGTCGATTCCAACTCACAGTGTCAATTCTCACTCAGATCCACAGGGTTTCCTGTTACGGAAGCAAATCATTTCATCTTTCTCTCACAGATCAGCTGGTGGGTTCCCACCACTGACCTTTTTGCAAGCAGCCAACTGCTTTAACCACCACACCACCAGAGTTCCTTAAATTTAACAACAAGGCATATGAAAGAAGTAACAACTCACTTAGGAAGATGCCTTACGAGTACGTCTTTGCATATTGGTTGTTCAGCCAAAGTCAGCCAAAATTCACAAGCTTCTAAAGCAACATTTTCATCTTGATCTTGGGTCCTCTGGAGCATGTACTGTAAACAAACAAACCTTAATATTATTCAGTTTAAACCATACAACTAAATAATAATTCTACATCAGCAAGTTACTAGTCCTTTCAAGACTGTCAGGACTTCGTATTTCATAGTGGTTCTCAATATAGGTTGTTTTTTTTTTATTTTATTTTTTTTATTGTGATTTGGGTGAAGATTTATAGAGCGAATTCACTTTCCATACAGTTCACATATACTTTGTCTCATGTCATTGACCAGTTTACCAACAGTGCAACAGCTCCCCTCCCACTTTCTCCCCATAGTTACCTCTTCCCTGTGTCCATCCCTCCATACACTCCTGCCCCCTGAGCTGTTTCCCTGTGCATAAACAGCCCTTCTTTCTCATGATTGTTCTCTCCAAAGAATGTATCTACTTGAGGTAAATGTTCAACTCACGTGCCTGTATTTTGTTTGGCTGGAAACCACAGATGTGGGTTCAATTCCAGACCTGAAGGGCAGCTAGGGGTCATAGTCTCAGTGGTTCCACCAGGCTC